ACATCAAAATTAACAAAAGTTTTGACTTTTCACTAGTCTCAAAGTCAATGCGTTCTCACTGCACTTTCTTGTCATGTGAGTTTGCTCAGTCCTGAACAGGCTCCGTTTAACGGTTTCTAATTTGTGCAATTTCACTTCCTGGACAAAAGTAATCAGATTAGTGCCTAGTCCACTTTATCCTGCATTGGCAACCTCCAAAATTTAGAAGGACTTAGATATACGAAACGAGAACGAGAAGGTTTCGTCTTCAGAACGATCTTCTAACTCTACATAGAATTAATTCAGGCTTTCTAACGAGAGTTGGACTTCACAGATTTGATTCATGTCCGTCTGTGTGAGCGGGAGACAACAGACTATGTTTGATTTAGGCGAAGAAGTCTACGGTTTGAATGTTCTAATTGGGTACGTCTTCCCTAGGACGCAGTTTACAGTCATCTCATGGCACACAGTCGTTTTTCCTAAACATCGGTTCTGGTATTATTATTATTATTATTATTATTATTATTGTAATTCAAGGTGCTATTTTGTTCCCTTTCATTATTTCTATATACAAACAGAATCTGTCCATTCCTCGTAACTTAATTGCTTGTATGTACGCTGGTTTTATTGTGATTAGTTGTCCACCTCTTGACGGTCCAGACGGTTTTCGTCCTAACCGGGACAATTCTAATACAGTTTAGGATTGATCCGTATACTGATCTTTTGTATTTATCAACAACAAGTAAATTGGTAGTTCTCTTTAATTCTAAAACTCTTCTGCTTCATTTTACATTGGTAAGTAATCCTCCTTTCCTTCTAGTTAATAACCAAAGCATCTCCAGATCGGATTTTGTTAAATACCTCGGTATCACCCTAACCCATAATCGGTCCTGATGTTAGTGCTGTTGCAGAAACTCGAAGACTATCCTTTTATACATATAGACCCAGGAAACCCACCCACCGTTCCACATACTCTCATTACTAAATTCGTGATTGCCTACATCCTTCCACACTATTTATACTGTCTGCGGGAATAAAAGGATAAGCTTTGGTCTTGTTTTACAGATCTTATAAGCCTCTTCCCAATACAGTGGAGTTGACAGACTTGTCTTGATTGAGTTTTATAGCTCCAGGGATTTTGGCGCTTGCGATACGCTTGTTGACAGCAAAACGCATGAGCAAGGACAACGTCTGTATCATTAAATATTGAAAGATATATCGGCTCCCCGGATTCGCTCCAAATGTCAACTGTTTCCTGCACAAACTGTGTGTTTGTCATACCTTGCTCGGCACGTGGTTAGTCGCAAGAAAACACTCACCCATCACAGAATTTTCTTCTTTTACTGCACTGCGGAATGTTTTCTGTTACTTTTTTATTGTAAATTTTATATATCCACGGTACATGCTCGTAAATTTCAGAAAATTCACTCTTTTGGTATGTTTCTTCTTGACCATACATGAAAAACGGGTATAAGAAGAACAAGCAAGATTGAAGATCACATAGTCGTGTTAAAAACGTCTAGTACCGGTTCATGTTAGATTGATTTTTAAATTATGCGATTCCTTTTGGCATGTGTTTTGTTACTGTTATAATGCACAATCTCTCTCTTTCGTTGTTAGATCACTCCGAACTCCACAATGGACTACTCAAAACAGCCTGTGGTGATCCAGGCCTACGATATGACGCCTACTGACAGTTTTTGGACACCTGCGATCAATCAAATTTCAAAGGTGAAGTCAATGACGCGCGCACATATCACTGCTTCTGACTACACACAATAGGCAGGTCGAGCCAGCCAATCCGAGACTGCAATCCAGACAGAAGCAGAATGATGCAAGCAGTGCCGAAATGTGATTGCTGAAAGTCTGGATAACCAATGACCTTCTTTTGTACATATTATTTAATTGTCCACATTTCTTCCAATAAACGAACTACCATTCCTGTTGCCCTTTCCTCGCGTCTCAGTAACGTGGGACATTGAGTGACAGTGCCATCCGGGCCCAGTGCTTACATGATTCAGTCCGTGATTGCTAGTCCTCGATACTACTACTACTACTACTGCGATCATTACACAACCCCAAATGGAGTGACGCCATCGATTCCTTTTTGGTTGATTATTCGGCCAAGTGCGCAGAACACACAAACCGGAATTCAGTGGATGTCTGAATGGATACACCCGACAGGGGGTAGATAATAGTGCATTAAGGGTTCTACGGTGTTGTGGGGTGAAGGAGGACAAGATAGATCAATAAATTCGAATAACATTGGTGGCGGTGATCGTACTGCCCCTCACTGGTTTATGCGGATTGTGCTAACTCACGATCTCCACGCTGGGTAAGTGAGAACATACGCCTGCGGACCAGGTGAGCTAACGGGCCATTAGTCCTCAAAACCAATAAGCTTCTTCTTTTACAGACGCCAAGCAATAAAAAACAATTTGGTCCCATATCTGGTGCTTATTCGGACCGATTAACTAAGGATTTTCTGTCTCAATTTATCACCAATATTGCACGCTAATAGTGTCTGTCACATGTTTTGGATATATGTGTCGCTGTATCACTTCAAAAGTGTGCTGAGTTTCATTTGTGAAAACTAAATGCTGAACACTGTTGGTTTATGGAACGACATTTCACACGTGAGCGTAGTTATTGCATAATCACTGGGGGTTATCCGTTCTGAGGATGCTAACACGGTGAGATGAAACGATACCGGTGAACGGCGTAGATGCGTTTGTTATCAGAATGGTGTGAACCAATATGTCAGGCGAATCGGGAACACACGCAAGCGAAACAATTGGGAAAACAGGATGTTAAAAATGTGGATAGGATTGCAGTCAATTGTCATTGGGCAGTAAGTTTGATCCAGGCAGTTCCGATTTGTCACAAAACTAAACAGTAAATCAGCCGTTTTAAATACATCTCCGATCTGTTTGTATGATTCTTTAAATAAAGATACGTAGAAATGTGAACGAATGAATGTTTCCAGAGACCCATGGAGCAAACCGTTAGGTGGTAAGAGTCCGTATTTTGAGAAGAATATAACTTTTCCGGTCTCTTCTGAGTGATTGTATTGCAAAACGAGAAGAATGACCTGAGGTTCAAAAATCTAAGTTAGGAAGCTATTAACTGGACAATAGTGCCTGGGTACACTTCAGTACAACGTCGTAACGTAATTCGTGACCATTCATAGAAGATCGTTGTATACAGTGTAATATCTTCTACCTCTTATTCCAAGAATAGTACAATGACAGAAAACCAGAAAAACATAACACAAACACTCTTTATGCCTTTGAGTTTGCATGAGATCTAAATAATCATTCACCTTGGTATTGTCCATTGAACGTGAACCGCATAGCTCAGTAATAAGTTTTGTGCTTTCCAACCCGAATGTCCTCTGTTCCAGTCCGATCGGAGTCACAAAAATAGTGCGCATATCTAATGGGTCTCCATGGGGACGAACTCGCTGCGTTGTCCATCATGCACTATTTGAACGGTTGCCCAGTCCGCCAAAAATGACAGTGAATTGAACTCTGACAAAACCTCTTGAAATCAAATTTGTCCGGAGTAAAGACAAGTATGAGCAAATGACTGGACTACTATTTACGACCAATGAAACGATTATTGTTGTGGCGTGGGAAGTAAGACGTGTGGGACTTAGTATTGAATGGTTACGCAAACAGATTATTGCAACTTAGCAAAGAATGTGGTGTATTATTGAGGAATTATGGAACAGATTGATCGGTTAACAGTTATGATTGTCACATAGGTGGTGTACCAACTCAACATATGAAGCAACTCATCGAAGCTGTGTGATTGTTACGCAGTAGTGACTCGCTCAATATTTCATCATCAGTGATTTGCTTTGTAACTGGATAGTGTTTTTTTAAGGTGTGAACACACAAGAAACGTTTTCAATCAATAAGACTGAATTCAACGCACGCACGCACACAGATGTCCGACTAAGCGATCCGTTAAAAACGTGATGATTAAAGAGGGTTTATGAAATGATAAATTTCGCATCGCATCGAATATTTTGTTTTCATCACTTGGATTTCTCTTTCCTCGCATCGTAGAGCACAGCTGTTTGACAACAGCACTGCTCATGCTGGTCACAACCGTATACAATAATAATAATAACAATAACAATAATAATAACACATCTAGCGCGAATCAATGTAACACACAAATGCATACACTATGAACAGATTTTACGGAAATGAAACAAACGGAGCTGCGCAGTTCGAGCCACATTACCAGCCGAGATGAACAAACAATCAGTGTGAAAAAAATGCTCAAAATATGATACCCAATACTGCGGACGATTCAACACGAATGTAATTTGTACAAACACCAACCGTACAGTAGGATAACAATGTTTTGTTCAATCGGAGACATTTTCGCTTTCGGCTAGCAAAATCACTTGCGAGCAACTCTCGTTGTTATCCTGTCTCTCTTTCTCTCTCCCTCAAAGATTTTCAGGTAAATCGTTTGTATGTAAATCAATGACCAATCGATATTAGTTGACATGAAAGATTTCAAACTTTGGCTCAGAATAGTTAAAATTGGAGTGTGTCGTTCGTCTACCGGTCAAAGTACTAATCAAACAAACGAGACCAGCTTCCTTTATCCATTAAACTTCACCATAATAGAGATGACAAGTAGAGCACAAACAACCGTTGACAGACACTGATACAATCACGATCTTTCAAAGATCTCAAATCCAATATCATACGAATGATCAATATCTGTGTATTTTTATGGCTCTCCACTCCTCCCTCCCTCACCCTCACACCCTCGCACCCCGCGTTTCCCTACCCGATTACCGAGCTCGAAAAAGAGCATGGTGCCACAGTCGATTCAATCACCCTGAAAAGGCCTACCCGCATTTAGGCGAATTTCGCCACACAGACACACACCATTGCACTGTGTCATTATTCAAGTCCAACAATGATTGAAAAACGCGAACCAATACCCCCTAAACGAATGAATTACTCCACACTCTATGACCCACTGCTCACGGCATGTATGGATACGAAGATAGCTACGAAGGTCCAGTTCTAGCTTACTGGTATCTCGGTATTGTTGGGCTAATGTTTATCGGTTTGGTGCTTGCCGGATTGTACTTACACAAAGTGGCCTGTTTTGCCAAATACAACGCTCAAACATGTTACGATGTGAGCATCGGAAGTGAGTCCTAGCTCAAATCGATGACCTTTGGTTATGCGATTGAATATCAGCCCATGGTTTCGGTTTGTGTATCCCGCCACACAGCAACCAGACCTATGATACGTTTAATTGAAACATGAAGCCTGGATGAATGAATGAGAATTCAGTTGTTGTTTTTCTTTTCTATGAAAAAGAGTTTGTGCATTATGCAATCTACTCCTCATCTTTTAGTCCAGTGATTCATTCACTCAGTTCAATTGGGGAATATTTGAATTGTTAATTTCCAAAATCGATTGATTCTCACTAGTCAAGCATGAAAGCTCATTTATCTTTATCAAGATGCTACCGTTTACCGGAATTCATAGTGAATTTGCACAGTATCAAACTGACCCAGAAGGAATAGTCAAAAGAAATTTCAGTTCCGACTAAAGGGGGTGGGGTTGCTTGCCATAAATACATCAAGAGCTCCGGGAATCGGTCACACAGTAATTCTATTTTGATAATCAACATATTCGCTTTTCAAACCAAAATTTTTCACAACTTTTGTATAGCTTTTCATCAATTCGAATCTCCATTCCAAACGTTTTCCAAGTTTCACTCCCGATTTATTGGCAAGATATCAAAAAAAGATAAAAATTTACTCAGACAGAGCTAATCCTTGTACAAATCAGTTGAGTGTGTGAACGCAGCATTTGAACGTCCGAGAACAGATTTGTGCATTTTTTTTATAATGGAAATAATTTTGATTGACCGCTGCCCGTACCCGAGAACTGACTCCTATTATATGCTTAATAAATCGAGTATGTGCACTGCATTCGTCCAGTTCACGTGACCGCACAGACTCATCAAGGTTTGTGTCATATGACTGTTATGCTATTATTGATCGATACAATCTGACCGTTCTCCCTTTGTTAATATCCTGAGCGTTCACAACGAACTGCAGTGATATTTGAAATCCGGATTTTTATGTTGTAAGAGTCCGGTCTGCAAGCTTCCAATTCACTCGAAATATAATGTCAAATAAGTTGTGAACTATCGGATCTCGTTCTAATCTCGAGCTAACTGAATACATCTATACATGTTCGCTAAGCTTAGCCGCTGGTTTGCAAACGTCTTCTGATCACATCAGATGAGATCCTCAGTGCTTATAAAACTGCATTGGATATTACACCTGGGGTGATGAAAGAAACAACTTTTGCTAACCAGATCGCCCATCTGAGTTAATGGGTGAAGAGATGAAAGTTGTCGTGAGTGAGAGAGAGAAAAAATATTTCATGTGATTAGACAGTAACAATGAGATCGCAGTTCGTTTGACGATTCTCCGTGCCGAGTCATGNGCGACGAAAATGGAGTTCTACGTTTAGAAGTTCACACACACATATATATATATATATATATATATATATGTATATATGGATGCACACCCACACACTGCTATTGGGAATTGTGTAACTGAGTGGTAAGAAGATCTAATTATTATATCATTATTTTCCTTTACTATTTTCATCAATACAGAAGTAGATGTATTGATCGAACTCGTGCAACACCATTACTTTCAACAGATCTCTTTCTCCCCATGCTTAATGGCCTGAGTCTCACTCAGGAGGATGCATACAGTATTACCCCCAAGCCAGAAACAACCTATCTGTCATATTTAAAAGGTGAATTCTTCGTGTATATAGCAAATGAAGTGTGAACTGCAAAGCAATGGACAGCTGTTTCGACCTAGTTGGGTTTTATGAACAGTGCGAATCCATCGATCCAACTGGAGATCGAACCGGGGACCACATAGACAGAACGTAAGCGTGCTATCCACTCGGACACCAGACAGTTGATCAAACTGTTTTTAATTTTCCATTTACACAATATAACACAAATCATCTTTGCGAAATTGTTGCGGGCGATAAACCTTGCTCATCTCAGCACTAGCCTCCGGGTTATTGCACCGTTGAAAACATTCACAACCTGACTACTTATTTGTAGTAGTATCTTTATGTATTGCTACTTCTGTTAGTCGAAGGCCTTATAAAAGCACAATTTGTTTACTTGGATAACAGCTGCAAGATAAATGTTAGGGTATATTTATGAAATGACTGATACGCATGACACGGATATGATTTATTTCATTTTCAATTGTTTCATTAGTCCCACAGAACACATTGAGAACAACAGCGTGGTGAAAAAAACTCGTCTCAGTTATTCGTAACCAGGCCATTGCACAACATTAAATATGACTAACAATAAGAACGAAACAGGGCAGAAGAGATTTAAGTCCTAATGATTCATCTGTGGCTCTAATCATTAGGACTCGAATCTCTCCTTCCCTCCCTTAAACTGGATGAAGATACACTACGGACTGGATCGATTAACCCGGATTTCTGCGACTGAATGTACTTCCCGAATGACCAGTAGTAATAATGTGAGTGTGTAAACAAACGTGTTTTTCAAAGCATCATTGACTAGCTGATCACTGTACATTTTAGAGTTATTTGAACAGAGAGTGGGTGTGGAGATACCAGTAACCAGTGTATGAAACGGAATAGAAAACCCGTCCAGTCTGAGGAGATGGAGTGAACAGGCAAATTCAATCAGATCGGAATATGTTTTGGTTGAACCCTTCCTCCATGCCAGTTAACTGTCTGTTTTGTTTGTTTTTGCAGACAACATACATATTTGGACCACTCAGTAAATTTACAGGGGTATTTGGAATCCACTGGTTAGTATACAGGCAAGAAACAATTTGAGCAACCAGCATAGCCGTTGCAAATCCTTTCTGTAGTTTTTCCAGGTGGCTCGAGTGGGTGATCTAAATGTGAAAATGTCTGTACCATCCGTGAGACCTCGCACCTCAGCCGGTCGAGCGTTCTTTGTACAAAAACGTAAGCGGTATCCATGTATGGGTTACAGTCCCATCTAGGCCACTACTCCGTTCACAATTCCCGAACCTGCCAACCAGCACGAAAGACAGATTGTTCACGGGTGCGAAGTCATCTGCTTGCATAAGTTTACTGAATTCTATGGAAAAGGCTGTATGGGTTGAACTATAACTGTTCGATCATGCTAAAGAACACCACCCATCATGGTTGGAAACGAGAGTAAAAAGGAGCAGTGATGACCATTAGCCACGAGAGAGTTATTCAAAGGGGTTAGGTTTTGAATACTGCTTCATGGTGGGGCTATTGCGATTCACCTTTACAAACCGCCTTTGTGTGCCGCTGAAACAGTCTGTATGAACAATGCGTGTTCCATGGCCATCTATTCACAATCGGACGGGTCTTTTTCCTGTTACCATTGACTCTGTGACAAAATAGTATTTTCTCCAGATGCAGTATCAGGACTGCGTTATATTGAATCGATAGGGTTAATTTTTATAACTGATCTCTCCACTCCCACTCGTCAAGCAAAATCAGTGTGTCATTCACCACTGGGAAAACTGGAGAACAGTCCACAAACTTGTGTTAGAATCATTTGAAGTGTATGTCCACCGAATTCTCTGGGTGCGAATGTTTTTTCTTCACCGCTCTAATCAGTTAAATTGTCTAGGAAATAATCCTATGAATTTGTGTGTAGAATTCTGCTCGAAAATCAGGGACTTAGATTACAAATAATGATGAGCCATTGAGTTACTCCTCATCAAAATTTCCATTTTCCTATTTTTGGTGATTATTAAACAGAAGAAATTGACAGTTCTAGCGAGGAAGGTTGACCTTTCACTATCTTGTTTACTTGATTGATCCACCCTAATTATAACTGGATGCAACTGTAGTTTCTATTGAGTCTGGGATTGAAGTATTTTACTTGACAAATCTTCTTTTTTTCGATGAATTAGCAAGCATACCGCTCTGTATTTTAGACATTATTGGATTAAGTGATCAGAGTGAAAAAACTCCAAGCAAACATGCTGAATGCCTACAAGTGAACATGAATCTGGTATGGTTTGTTTTCAGGCTGTGGATTACCTGAATAAAATCTATTCTCTGACTCCTCATTAATTCAAATTTTCCGCATACATGACTTGTTTCGTGCATATAAGACGCATTTATCAATTTTTTCCCACACGTCTGAAGGCTTCGTATCACGCACTTGCTTGTCCTGTCCAACCGTCACGTGACCACTAATCGTCTTTACTGTTCGATCGATGTTGTCCGACGGGGAAGAATTCCTGTTAGTTTTATGCACCACCTGTGGGCGATTAAGTTTACTGCTACACGTGATTGTTTGAATTGAATAGAGCAGTTTTAGTCACAGTTTTGAGTTCCAATTAGTTCCAATAGACAATCATTTCAACCCGAGTATAGAGTGGAAAACATTCAACACTGCAACGATTTTTTGTGTGCTGTGTTGTAGTATTGCTTTGAAAAAAAACTATTGCACAATTTTGAATGATAAATATCAATAGACTGTGTAGGATAAGACTATTTACTTACTTATGAATACTCTAAATTTACAATAATCAAAAAATATCACCAATAAACAACTATCAGAAATTCGTAATTTGCTGCCAATATTGATAGAAGTTGCCGATTCCGAGGACGTCTTGCCGTCCATTCCCTGAGGTTTATTCTGTAGATTACTTTAGTCCCACTAATCTGAGTTTTTCCTTTAAAATTCTAAAAATTTAAACAGTGGCAAACTGCCGCTTTGTTCGCGCTTTGAACTTTTATTCTCGTAGCAATTTGGCTGTACTTTTTGAAGCATCTTTGAGATATGGCAAAATTGGTTTTGTCTTATGTTCCCTTTTCTTTCTTTTGATCCATGGTCCGTTTAATGAAGCTGTGCGAGAAATAAATGTTTTTCAAATATTATCCCAGCAAAATCCTTTTTGGAACAATTTGAGTAGTTACATTTTGGCTTATGGATTTAATTGTACCACGGGTTATTGCATAAGACTGTTGTCTCCAACGCATTCCTAATACCTGTTTGGTGGTCCTACTCTACTGCCCTTCTCTGTTCCCAATGTGAGCCTGACCACAGCTTCACCCATTTCTGCATTTTAATGCTTTGACTGTGAATCCGGATACTGGTCATCCCAAAGGGTGCTCGTTTAGCATGTTCGCAGAGTTCGCCCTCAAAGTCAAAGTATGTTTTCAGAGAATAGCTGGTTCCATTGATTGACTTTGTGGGGTTCCTTACATTCTTTCTCTCAATTTGAACCATATCAGGCTCAAATCAGTTAATGTCAACCGAGCGATAACGTCACTGTAGTTCACAAATTCACCTATTTTATATTGAAGGTTTTGAGCCTATCTTAAACTAAATTTGTTTTCAAGAGAGAGAGAGAGAGAGAGTGGTTGCAATCATCTCGAAAATTCCTATGCTAACTTGTATGTGTCGATTCCCGAGAGGGAGATAATTGATCTGAGTGGAATTCCTGTTCAGCGTGTATTTGTCGCACAGTAGAATTGTGCAGAACATAGTTCATGGTTTTCATCACACTGCTTTGATTGCCTGATGCAGTTCGTTTGGTCATTTGAACCTGAAGTTAGTTTTACTTTCCAGTCTTGTAGCGCTGTCGTATGAATTCACCAACAACTGCTAGTTTGCAGAAGCATTTCTGTAGTCTTTCGAATGTGGTCTGCATTGATTGTTATTAGCAAGCTAAATGATGATGCATTTGTTAATCTTCGATGATTTTAGGGCTTCCTTCACACATTTAAAAAAATGGCGAACTTTCCTGTTCACGTTTGATTTGAGACGACAAAAGTCCCAACTGCTTGTTTTTTCGCACTGCCGTGTATCGCAGATGACTAGAAAGCTCATTCCGGTTCCACCAGGTATTCTTTGTTTGAGATCAAGTGTTATGTTATGTTGATACGAGCGCTTCCTGACTAGGCCCGAATAATAATACGGAGAGAACACGGCTGGAGAACAAAAGAGTGTTTTATTGATCATGACACGATAAGCAAACATAGGTGTTAAACTGGGTGTGGTGATGCACCAATCAGATCGCGTCCTTGACACAGATTGATCAATCGGACGACAGCTGTCTGATTCGCCTTAGTCATCCCATCCGGAATCAATTCGCCGTAGGGCGTCGCGAGCGCACTTGCGGTGTGACGCGGATCGATGCGTGGCCTGACGGGTTCTATGCGCCCCGTCCTAACACCAAGATTGCTTTTGTCCTCAAGAATATGCAATTAGCTGAGTGATTGAAACTGAAGTTGCCCGTAAAAGTGAAAAAAGTTATTGACTATAGCGGGGTGAGTAAACTTCAGTAGGAAAATGAAAACAATGTGTGGAGTTGAGAGGAAAAGGTTGTTCTAAAGTCTTTGATCGTCGACCTTTCAGTTGATGGTTTCTATAGACTACGATATCATCGTTGTTTGGGGCGAGGGCAGCTAGAGCACACTGACCAGTCTGTTCTGTACACAGGGTGATGCATTCTTGGGCTTAGTTTCTGTGATTATTTATTCGCAAGTTTGCACGAAATTTGACGATTCCTTCGCTTAGGGACTTGTGCTACAAGTAAAGGCATCCATTGTGGGTAAAGTATGCATTGAAAAAATCATATCGGTTTTGCTCTTGCATATACGCAAATAAAATGAACTGACCGATATGAGATTAGGTAACAAGACAATGATGTGGAGGAGAAAGAACACGTAGAAATAGTATAAACCAAAAAACGAGAAAGATGAAGTACAACAACGGAATTGTGAAAAGTGGTGAGGTGAGTGTACAGTAAGGTTGAAACATATTGTGGTTGACAAAATTGGAGATGAAACGATCGAGGATCGGGTGTGGACAGGGGGGGGGCGGGATGCATCAGAAAGGACTGACTGAGTCACACGGACGGCCACAAGCTTTACGGTGTTGGTTGATGGTAGTCGACCAGTGCCACTCAACGGTACAGTACCTTTTCTAGAGATGCTTTTCAAAGAATATCTAATCAATATAAAATTCTTAAACAAAAGAGCAAGGGGAACAGTAAGTATCGTGGCGTAAAACGTACGAGAAGAAAAATTCACAAATCAAATACAAAGACACCCCCAGATGTCAGAGACGTGCGATGAAAAACGTCGAATTTCTAACCTGTTGTACGTGTTAGGACCAGTTGAGGTCAATAGAGTGAAAACATCCACCGTATTTGAAATGTTGTGACCTTTCAACATTTGAATGGTTAACCAAGCTGTTGGGCACATGTGATCCGGAATGCTTAGATGGCTTTCGATTGAAGGCAAACCAAGCTTCAATGTATTTGGTGGAGCTTAAGAAAATAATATCATCATCAGGTCATCGGGCATTCTAAATTATGGCTGATCAAAGGTGGTTGATGGAAGGAAGAGTTGGCATTGGATAGAGCATTGATCACCACGTCGACGGCATTCTGAAATGTGAAAACAGCCGGTGTGAACGGCAAGTCAGAAAAGAAAAAAGCACAATATCAGGGGAAACATGATTCCACCCCACCCACCCCCCCTTCCCCCCGAGAACTCCCACCGTATCAGTTTGAAATGGGAATGTGCATCATATCGGGGGGNGGAGGGGGAGGGGAGGGCAGGTGTTGGGGAATACTAAATTTCCCCTGAAAATTCGCACCGTATCAATTTAAAATGGAAACAGAACAGATAAGATTACTTCTTATGGTACTTCTTATCTAACATAGGATGTGGAAGCTCGGATAACACTAAGATATGTGAACTGTTGTTAGTTAAACATCTAACTCAATAAGAGTGGCGGAATATTTGGCTATTGTAAATATCTCAATAGGGTTTTGTTATACACTGAGCTAAAGATGACTGTTTAGTCAAGTATGGCAAGTATGAACAGTTTTGTTTTGAAGACCGGTTAGGGATAAAATGAAGAGTGTAAAACAGGTGACCACATTAACAGTTGAGCGACTCTTACAATAATCGAAATGGTTTGAACCATATAGGTCAGTAGAATAGGAAAGAGCCCTAATAATAATTCGCTCAAAAT